AGCTGAATACTTTGTCGTAACCTGGAAGCGTTTGGTTAACGTGGGTTATGTTAAATTCTTAGCACCCCCTCCCCTAACTTCTGCTTGCAGCACATGAAGCTTTTAGGTACTGCCGATGTAATTGGGTGGATGAGTATTGTGAGTATGGAAAATGTATCAAAAATATATGCAGTATGCACACACAAAGCTGAAAATGCTTCAGCTAAAAATTTTACGTGTTGAACGTAAGTTTGTACGTGTGGACGTTTGGTATCCATGAGTTAGGGCAACGCTTTGAAAAATGTGGTCTGCTCAGGGAAACGATCTTCTGTAGGGTTTGGATTGAATTTAGTTTCCCTTACAGGAACAGAGGTGGTCATTCCAGGGACCTTGCTTCTTTATAGAGCCCTTCTCTTAGGAAATGTAGAGATAGAAGGCAAGTTTGATAAATCATTTCAAGCTTACGTAAGTCACCTGGTTGCTCTCTAATTTAGAAGTCCTAATAATTGGAAAAATAAACATAAAGGAGTGTGCAATCAGTTGTTAATTCTGCATTTAACAAAAATGCAGTAGTCGTTCTTACTGGTGGTTTCTTTATACTAGCAAAGAAAGCATCTCAAAGATACTGCTACTGTTCTTTCCAAAAAAAAAGAGATTAAAGACCCCTGTGTCCTGCAGCTCTTTGAGGGATGTCTGTATCTCATCTTCCATGTCTGTGGCACTGATAGTTTTTGGCACTGGTGCATGGAAGGGGCTGAGATAGCTGTGGGATTTGTGGCGAAGAGGCCTCTGCTTCCCCTGTAAGGGGGAAAAGAGAAATCGGGAGAGACAGATTGCCTGTGATGGAAAGTAGGAGGGGAAAGGGAGGGCACAGGGCAGCTGAAGGAGCGAGCATTAAGGTGAAAACCAGAGAAATGCAAGAAGGCTCTGCGAAGTTCAACAAAAGTGTTTCTAGTGGGCTCCTAACATGTTGGTAGAGACGGATGGTGAGGTTTTCTTAGGTGCTTGCCTGTGTGGGCTCCTCCGAGACGTTCAGCCTGACTTCCCCTGGGAGTAACCCCATAAAAGCAACTGAAGGTAGCACTCATGGAATAATGAGAAGAATCACCTCTGAAACGTTCCAGACCAAAATATCCTCGGGGAGGCTTTAAGATTTATAGCAGATCTTAAAGAAAATGAATATGTGAGGTGGGAGATTTTTCTCATATTGCATTTGGCACCCCTCAAAGCAGCAGCGAGCAGTTTGGGGATAAATGTGATTATCCACCGCCTGCAATTAGGGCAAATGCCATTGCTGAAGCAGCTTTGGGAGCCGCTGGGTGGTAAATGCCTGAACAGATGTCGAAGAAGCACTTCTGCAGGCCTCGCTTAACAGCTCCTCTTCCTCCCCAAGATATTTCTGCTCAGGATGTGGAATCATCTTTGAGGTTGGGGTACTCTTCTGTTGCAATCTCGTCCAATTTCTCAAGGCATTGGGGGATGCTTGACCTTTAGCAGTGCCGGCTGCCTGAGCTGTGTGCTCTGTGCCTGTCTGTTTTAATGCTCCCTTTCTGAGGACGGACCGGGTCAGAATTTTGTGTTTCTGCCCGTGTGAATCTGTTCTGTTACTTGAGGGGGTGAGGTGGGGGGAAAGCCCTGTCTTCTGCTATGGCTTTTAGTGTTGCTCTATTCTAATGAGAAATTGTGCCTGGAAAAAAGTGGGATGCTTACCTCCCACCTCCCTCGTGCCTTCTTATTCTGCGTGCAAAGTAGCCTTTCTGAGCACGGGGCTGCCTTGTGAAAGTTTCAGGCCGTCCGGCTGCGAGACAAAAAAGCAAATAGCTTGTGCTGGTTCCAGTTGAATATGTTCTCTTCAATTTGTGCCTACTGAAGCGTGGAAATCATTCCACTGCCGATCTTGTGAATGTTGCTAGTTGTTGTTGCTTGATCTCCAGAGAAACCTCTCCAACCATCAGATGAGACAGGCTTCTTGTTCTCTGCAGTGAGGCTCAGGTTGTGACCTCAGTCAGCTTTATTCTCACCTTACTGGACCGATGCTGTGATTTGATTTTATTTTTCCAGAACTTAGAATTGTACTTTTGAACTTTATTTAATCCGGATGGGTCCGGAGTTCAGGATGCATTCTTCCTTATCCTTCTCAGCAATGTACCATTAGCAAAAGGCGGATGAAGGCCAATGAAACCCAAAGGGCTTGTATAGTAAAATCTGTGCTTAGGATGGCTGTGTGCTGTGTTGTGGCTGCTGCTGTAAATACCTGATCATATTCATTGTAAAGAGCAGTAAAGATGATTTCTGGTGCGTTGCTTTCTCATTATGTGAGCCTTTTCTGCGGGCTTGGGGTTGTTGCGTTCATAAGGAGGATGCTGTCTGTTAAGAATCCACATTTACCAAATGCAGAGAGCTTTGGCTTTTTTGTTTTGATTTAAGATCAGGAGGGAGCGCACTCAGTATAATAGGTGTTTGTCGGCTTCTGATCATGAGGCTGACTTCTGTTTTCGTTTTCCCAACCAGCTTTCACTGTCTCTGGTGCACTTAGCTTGCCACGCCGCAATCCGAGCGAGTTAATCTGCTGTCTGACGGCATTACAGAAGATAGGGGCTTGGAGCAAGGCATCTTTCTCATGCATTAGTGTGTCAGATCCATTTTTCAAAACACAGCTTGACTTCCCCGTCTCTCTTTGCTTTTTGTGCATGTACATAGACGAGCAGTGGAGGTGAAAACTTTCTCAACTCGCCTTGTATATTAGAAGAATCACCAATTCCCCCAAATATTCCCTTCTTACAAGCTGCCCAGTTGTTGCCTTCTCTATTAAAATTGTTGGCAGTGCTGCCAGGATGGCATCCAATTTGCTTCTGCCTTCCGAAGAAATGCACAGCTTGTTTCACATACACCATGAAAAATTAAAACAGCCGCTGATTGCAGTTCCGTGTCCTCTCGTGGGAGCTGCCTGCTCGCTCCTGCAGCTGCAGAACCCAGAAACAAACGGGGAAATTTAGGAAACACAAAACTCATGTAGGAAACCTTGCCCCTGTTGAAGCTTAGTGGGCAACAAACTTGCTGCCATGCAGAGTCCAGTTGGAAGTGGTAAGTGGGGTAACCTCAGCAAATGCTGAGTGGTATTTGGAACAAGCTATCCCTTCAGTTTTAAAATAGTGATTGAAACAGTGGACTTGAAATATTTTTGCAAAAGGCAGGTGGTATACATTATTAAATACTTGCATGTCACCCCCCTCCTTTTTTTTTTTTTTTTACTTCTCCTTTAGATATTAATGTTTTCCAAGAAATCAAAGCCTGTGTTGTCAGATACCTGACAATGACTATTTTTAGTGAAGCTGTCATCTATAATTCACGGTATTTTCAGTTCTTCCTGGACTGCAATAAAGCTTTGTTTTCAGTTTCATGTCCCACTGCATTCAGAGTACTCATCTTCACGTTTAAAAGACACGCTGGTGTTGTGGCACTTAGCTGACAATTTAATTTTGAGTTTGATTATATTGTTTTGTGGTTAATTTAAATGCAACAACCTATTTGTGCCCTTGTAAATTATCATAATCTGTGGGATGAATATTTTTTTTTTTTTTTTACATACGGCCTTTACAGGAAAAAGACTTTTTTTTTTCATAAACTAGTTGCTGGAAGCCTTGTTTAAAATATGATTCACCCTTCTTGTTTGTTTTTAAGGTAACCGAGCAGATCTGGCAGTACAGTTTTAATATTCCTTTTCCTCTCATGTTTGATAACGCGTTCAGAAATGTGCCAAGACTTTTTCTTTGCTGTTCTGGAAAGCACGGAGGCTGAAGTTGCTCCAGACCATGCATGGGCTCGCAGTGTGCAGGTGATGGGATGGGGTACCTGCCGCTTAAGTGGAGCTTTTGCTCCTTTCTGCCTCCACCAAGAGGCTCCGCACTGGTTTGGTAGGATGCTGTTGGAGTGTGCTCCATTTATCAAGTTGGAAGCTCTTCTGTGTCTGCAGTTTCTAAAGTCCTCAGTCCTTCTCGGGCTTCCAGCTTTCGGTGACGGTGAGAAAGGGGAGGGAGAGAAACTGGCCTCTGCCTCGCCATGCCTTGTCTGATGTCCCTTTGCTTAAAGCGTGCTCTGCTTGGCTAAGACATTCAGAACAAACAGCTTTCTGGTCAACTTCTAGGAGGGGAAAATAATCCGTGGCTTCTAATTTAGTAAGGTTTTTTTTTTTCGTTTTTTTTTTTTTCCCCATATAAACTAATTAAGTAGCTGTGAAGCTTATCGTGTTGGAAGGAACCCTGCTGACCCTCTGAAAACAATTGTTCCGGTTGAGGCAGATCTCTGCGAGCAACCAAAGCAGTTGAACTAACATGTGCTGCCTTGTACTAAAAGGAGCACTGGAACAAATGTTTCTCCTGCTTCTGTCCGTAGAGTTTTGATTGCTGAAACTCTTGGATAAGGTTGGTCTTGGTAATGTTAAGAAACAGTGAATTGCAGGAGGAACCTGAGGGTGAGGGAGGAGAAGCTTGAAGGCTGCAGGATGAGTTAGCTCCTCCAGAGCACTCCCAGAGGGGTGCTGTGAGATTCCCACCTGGAGAATGCGCTCTGCTAGGGGCTTCCCCATGGCTGGACACTACTGAGTCCCCCACGGAAAGGGAAACCTTGCTCCACAAGTGCCTTGCCTCATAGCACCCCGTGCTTGGCACACGATGGTTCAGGATTATTATGTTCCTGGGTTCAAGTTCTCTATGGTACAGTGTTTAGAGGATCTGTGCTCTTGTGTACATTATTTTCCCCTTAGCTGATGGTGCTGTAGCTGCTGGCTTGTGGTGCACGAGGCTGTTTGGGCTGCTGAACTCTGAGATGGGCGCGTTAGGGTGACGCATGGTGTCGTCTCTCACTTAATGCAAGCCTTAGTTCCAGCCAGGAGCAGCTGCTTTTTTTCTGGCGAGGCTGCAGTCATTGCTGCTGAGGGCTGGCTTTCATTTACTGCAGAGGAGATTATTCTCTTTTGGGAAATGATTTCATCGGCGGATTGAAAACGGGAAGGTGAAGCAAGCAGAAGTGGCAAACAGGAAGGCGAAACCCATACGCGCTTTGCAGCGAGGCGAGGGTTGCCTTCATTCATAACGTTATGGAAATGACATTTGAGGATTTGGAGGATTTTGAAAGACCCTGGGTGGATGGTGTCCAAGCCTTGCTGATTCGTATTTCCGAAGTGAGAGTTGCAGCAAGAGAAACCACTGCTTGGAAATGACATTGCAAGAGAGTTCAAACTGAACTGTAGTGTCACTTAAGGGATAGGAGACAAATGGAACAGAAAAGGTTTTTGTTGGAGAATTGTCTATTTGAACTGCAGTTTGTTAAAAGGTATGTTGTACTTAAAATGTAGCATATATATATATTTTTTAAGTATTTGGCTTAAGGCCAGTGAGAGTTGGCTTTTATCATTCATTTTAATCTCAGAGTATGTATTTTCAGGATGTATCCTATCAGTGGAAGAGCTGGAAATGTCTTTCTGGCGGAAGAGGAAGCTCAGGTTTTTATGTATTGATGGGTCTCCGGGAGTAGATGGGTAATAACTTTTTGTGCAATGTAATAAAATTGACTTGGGAACACTGGAATATTATATTTGAATATGACAGATAGCCAAAAAGAGTTTTCAGTGAGAAGGCTGTAAAACCCTTCCTTTTCCCCTGTTGGTTGCATCTGTAGTCCTTGAGGAAGGAGAGACCAGCAGTCGTGAAGCTGCAGCTCCTCCCAGCACTGCTGCACGTGAATTTGACTTTGCAGCCTGGTTGTGTAAACCTCTGCCAGATAACATCAGCGCTCCTGAAACCTTTGGGGAGAAAAAAAAACAACACCCTGAAATCATCATGAGATTATTTGACTCACTACTCAAAAATGGCGCGGTGACATTGCGGTACGCAAGTCGCCGACTTTGCTTAACTTCTGACATTTTTTAATGCAGCGATGCAGTGACATCTGTGAGATGTATTGCTTCTGCATAGGCAGGGATCAGCTTCGCCCAACTCCTGCTTCAGGCCTGTTTGTTCTGGACCAAGGGTGCTGCCTCCCCTGCTGAGGTTGCATCCTTCAGCACGCTTTCCAGGCAGCTGTAGCCATGTTTCTCCTAACACCGGTGCCTGCAGGGCTGGATTAGAAGGTGCAAGATGCATTCGTTTCCCTGGGCTTTGCTCTTGAGCTCTGTAGGATAGAAGCGTCTTGTCCTTAACACCTCTGTAATCACCGATCTCTGAAATAGGTGTTCTCTCTGTCTGTTTTGGGGCTGGTGGGATGTCCTTAGCGGGAACTCCTGTGGCACTTGGCAGTCTCTCTCTGCTCTACCACTCTGTATCCTTTATTTTTAGCAGGTTCCCTGAGATTTTTATTGTAAACACTGGGTGTTTTTTTTTTTTTTTTTTTTTTTTTTTTTTTTTTTTTTTTTCAGGCTTGATACATGAAATTTTAGCTGCAAACAGAAATATAAGTAACTACAGATGTGCTTCATGCACTGACAGGAAGATGCTATGTCCATTCAGAGTTTTTCAGCAAATATTTCTGGGATCTCTGATGGCTGCGTTGAAGGCATAGCACTGGCATGCCTCCTTTGATTTTATTCTGTATTTTTTCTTGGCTGCGCTTCTTTCTGGCCCCTGTGGTCCTGGATTATCACCCATCCATCACAGGGTGGGTTTTCTGGTTCTGAAAACCAGAGTCACTCTGTTTGCTCATTTGTGACCACAGTCTAATTTCTATTAGAAACACAAACCGTAGTATTACGTAGGTAACATTATATGTGTAAGGTCCAACTTTCAGAAGCTGGGGAACACCAAAGAAAAAGGAGTTTCTGCGGAAATGCTGATGGATGCTGGGTGATGACGCTGCTTCTAGCTGCTTTTATTAGGGTTTTTCCCCCTGCCCCCCCCCCCCCCCCAAAAAAAAAAAAAAAAAGGCAACGTACGCCTCTGCTTCAGCTGCTGTGACTCAAGTTGGGATCTCAAGAAAGAGGAACAGCTGGGGCCGTCTGTGTTGGGTTTTGTTTGCACCGCTCCTTTTGCTTCCCAGCATCACGCAGAAAGCGTGTGACGGAAGAAGGGATGGAAGGCACTTCTCCCATTCAGTTGTCTGAATCATAAGACCACAGTTTGCCTTCCTGTAGTCCCTTTTTTTCTGTTTTACAGCATGCCTTCTTCTGTGCCTACTGTAGCTTCTCCGGCGAGCGAGGCAGGAACCCTGCAGACAAGGGCTTCATTCACGGTGTGGCCGTGATTAATTCCTTGAACACTGATTCATTCTCTGCACAGAAGGTGCTTTGACCTTAAGGGGAAGAGTAAGTGATTGTGATATTATTCATGCCTTAATTCAGTTCCTCGTTTGTAACGGTCTCTAGGAGTGATTTGCTTTGCAACAGTTTTTTCCTGTGTGTTTTTTAGGTGTGTGTATCTAGATACCTTTCCTTTTCATTTTGTCTTGGAGAAAAGTTGGCTGTAATCTGACAGATTTCCACAGGAGACATCAGCAAGATGATTAATGGGTACCGGTGTCCTAGCCCTGCTTCCAGCTGCTAGGAGGGGAACTGTTGAGCAGTGTTCGTAGCTCTTGGAGCACAGGGGAATAGCAAAACCTCAATGTGGGGTAATTCCAGGTTCTGGAAGGGGGAATCATCTGCAGAGTTACTCTGTGTATCCACGGGCCTCTTAAATAGGTGTCAGTCTCTTTCTTTAGGATGGAATAGACAAGATGCTGATGCCATTGCTGAAAGTGATGAATAAAAATATAAAAACACAGGAAAAAATAAGCCTGAGATGACTTTTCTCAACTTTCAAGTCAATGAAAAAGCCAGCGAGCTTAGGAACAGCTCACAAAGTGTTTGCAACCTGTTTTAGGTTATATTTAGTGTGGGCAACTGCAAACCTTTGGGAAATATTTACATGGTTTTAGCTGAGTGTTCACAAATCCTTCCATATTCTGGGAATCTTCCTTGGGGCAGAGTGCACATCTTTGACCCCAAAGGCATGGCAGTGGTGGGTGACCCCTGCTTGTGGAAATACCTCCACCTTCTTCCCCCTACCAGAGGGATGGGGGTTGACACCTGCCAAATGCGGTTTCTCCTTTTCTCATGACAATAACAGCCAAAAAAAAAAAAACTTTTGGGGTTTACAAGTCTGCCTTGGATTGCAGGCTTCAAGAGAATTGTTTGGGTTTGCTGTGATGCAAGAGGTGAAGGGACACTGGGTTTGTTAGGTGTCCGTGGCAGTCATGTATCAGTTCTTGCTTGACACCCGACAGTCCAAATAAGCTACTCTGAAACTTACCTGAGAGAGCTTTTCTCTGAATATGGAGAATCCTGGAGGGCTGACTTCTTTGCTTTCCAAGTTTTTATGTTTTCTGAAGAGCTCGATTTGACCTGTGATTGCAGACTGGCACAACAACGCTTACAAATCTCACTTTTCCTGCATTTGTTTTAATTCCTTTGGTGGTTGTAACTCTTTCTGGATGTAACTCTTCTTACGGAGGTCTCGCAGACAGCATTACTGCAAGGCACCCCCCTTTGCTCCTCTTATTGTCCCTGCACCAATACCTGGGCACAGAAATGCTAGTTTTAGGTAGCATGTGCACCACGAGGTTCTGAGAGAGTTTCACTGAAGTCATTGACTAAGCTACCATGGGATGTTTCTTTTCCAGCATGGAAAGAAGAAAATAGGGTGAGTGAGGAAGAGAGGGACCATAAAAAGGAGAGGATTAGCACTGTATAGGTTGCCAAACGAACGGGTTTGTAAAACTGCACACAATAACTGTGTTCGGGATGACTGAAACCATCGAGACTGTGTGTGACTGATGCACATCTCTGTTTGTAAATGAAGGGAGCTCTCTGCCCTTATTTTCCTCCTCCTTGTGCAAAAAGAAGGTTGGCATCTAGATGGGCTTTTCCTGCCTTTCTGGATGGTGTAGTTTTCTGGTGGCATTGTCACAGTCGTTTTTGTCACAGTCCGTGGCAGGGGGTTGCTCTGCCTGTGTTTCAAGCAGCGGTGGCCCTGGACCATTTGCTGCTGCCTAAGAAAACTTCAGAGAGCTCTCAGGCCAGTGTGTTCAGGTTAAACAGTGAAGTATGTTTAAATTGGCTGTTTCGGATTTTTAAGTTATCTATTTCAGGAATTTCGGCGGCACGCGGTATGCGTTTTGACGTACCAGCGGAGGGGTGAACCCAGTCTGTCTTGAGCAACCCGGGCCGTTGCAGTCGTCTGAGGATTAGGAAGGGGGAGAAAGTTTTGCTATTTTTGTAGCCACTCGTCTGGGTTATGTGATGCTACAATACAGCAAAGTGAACTTTGCTTCCAGAGTTGCTCTTTCAGCAGTCTCAACACTGACACTACCTTTTTTTTTTCTTTTTTTTTCTTCTCATTCAGTATTTGGCAAACCCTGGCCATGATTTCAAGCTATAGCTGTCTCAAATTATTTATGGCGGGTACTGATGCTTCCCCTAGACAGTTTATTTTGGCTTTTTGCTGCGTGTTTCTTACACTGTCCCTGAAAAGGGAAATACTGGGGTTTGTCTTTCTGAGCAGAAAAGCAGGAAACAGCACAACCAAAAGCTTCCATTCATGCACTTTGTGGTAAACACTTTACCACAGAGGCCCCAGACCCCTTTTCTCCCTGCTTTTTACCTATCTGTCACCATAAAATTTGCAGTGTTTCCTTGTGCCTGCTCATAGACAGCGAGCAGTGTGCTCTGGAGCATCCTGCTAGCAGTGTACTGCCCTGGCTTGGTTTGTTGCAGTGGCTTTGTCCCTCTTGGTCTAAACACTGTTCCCTTCCTTCCGAAGGTAATCGAACCATTGCAGTTTGTTTGATATCTCTTAAGAGAATAACACTTGCTTGAAAATGCATCTCCCAATACAAAAACACTCCATATATACAGTCATATATGTTTCCTTTAGGAAAGCACGCTTACTACCAGTGTTTAAGTACCATAAGCTATGGTCAACTAATGAAAGATTGCCTATAGTGTGGATTTAAAACACCACATGCAAGATCAGTGTATGCACAAAGCCTAGTTGACCACCAGAATTTTAGTATACTTTTCCTGTCAACCTGTTCAGCATGTCATCAGATCTTTGTTCAGATTTTTATATGGGATTCTGTGTTTTAGGACCTGCTTTGTTAAGTGGGAGGGCATAAGGCTTAGTTTGCAGCCTCGCATTTGTGCCCAGGTCATGCTTTGTGTGTTACAAGTAGATTTATGTTACAGCAAAGTGAGCAAAATCAGGGTCCAGGTTCAGTTTGAGTAAGGGTCTTCATTCAAATACAGAAAATGTAAACAAATACAGAAAATATTAAGATGAAAGCATATCGGTTAAAATGCCATAGATTTCCAAACCCTTCCTTTCACAGCAATGCTTAATCTGTACATTTTGGCCAAAGACTTTTGCATTTATTTGTCGTGCATCCTCCAGCTGTCAGTCTGCAGCATCAGCATCCTTCATCCTTGCCAAAGCCAGTTCTGCGATAATGAAGCAGTTGAAAGACAGCTCATTGGTGAAGTCAGGTACTCCTAAAATCTGCCACTGATTGGGTCCGGAGACAGGCATCCTGTTATAGTAAGATAATAGCTTTTTGTAAGTGGCCTGCCTATTAGGTGTGTCATAATCTTTGATCCAGTCTTGTGTAAGTGCAAATGCACAGCAACACTGGATGTCCGTAATTAAAGCAGTGCGTAGGGCAGGGATTGCAGCGCGCCTCTTCTTGTTTGTACTTACCATGACCATATTTAAAGTATTTGCATGCGAACACAAAAACAGTGTTTAGTTAGGAAAAAAAGCTGATTATGACAGTGTGCTAGAGCACCTTTCACGAAGACAGCCCCTCTCCCGATACCTGCTAATTCCCATTTGCTTGTGTTTCAGCGCAGTGTTTTCTCCGACATGGTTTTAAACCTTGCTGTCTGCTTGAGGCGCATTTGATGTTGAGCAGAGCCAGGCTTTTGCACCTCAGCGGTTGGGAGACCACAAGCAATTACCTTCGTTAACGTCTCTTTGACCTGACACAATACTCCAAGCCGCGTTTAACGTCATTAAAAGCAAATCACGTAGCCTGCCTCCTGGGATTTATAAGGCTCAAATTAACGCCTCTTCACTTTCACACCTTGCCGGATTTCTGTGTGGTTGGTGGAAGCTCTTGGCGCTGGAGCAGCTCGGGGAGACTTGGCCCTGGCTCTGCAGGAGGTTTGGGCTTTTGGCACTCGGTCCTGGAGCTGTTTGGGTGCAGGTGGAGTAAGCATCTGTAGGGATGAAAGCTTTAGGAGAGGTAGGGGAGACAGGCAGGCTGCTGATGCTGCTTTATGGAGAACTTATTGGGCTTGTGAGTATCTGGAGGAGGGAGGAGGCAGCAGGGAAGGAGGCTTTGCTCTGGATGGCTCACTTGCAGTACTGTTTGCAGCTCTCAAGTGAGTCAGCAGCCTTCGATACGCTCAGATAACCTGAATAAAAATAGCCAACCATCTTGTGGTAAGCTTTGAAGTGAGATCTTGGTGAGGAATTACTGAGCTTAAGTGTTGTTTTTTTTTTCCTCCTTAAAGAAAGGCTGATACTGGAGTCGAGGAGCTAGACAAAGAAAGCCCAACCCAGCACTTAACTGACATCATCCCTGCTGCATCTGTGCGGAGCCTAAACCTATAGGAAAGCAGCTGGAGCCCTTCCCAGTATATAATATATGTCCTGCTACCAAGCATTGCACTGCGGAGCCACAACAGATGTATTTCACTGTGACATATTAATTTCTTTGCTTCAAATAGCGTGTGGCTAGGGATAATACACTTGGTGAAATATTGGGGCGAGAAACAATGCAACATAAAATAATGCTTTTCATTTGAGGACCTCAGAAACGTGTGCAATAAATTAAACAAATAACCCAATTTCTGCCTCGTGTCGCTGCAGAACATGAGGGTGGTGGTGCTTGGATGGGGGCCTCAGCTCTGGGTGCCAAGAGTGACTTTGGGAAGAGCTCAGGGACAGGGTGAGCACTTGAAATGCTTCCCCTGAATGTTTCCCAACACTGAATATCTGAAGCTCAGGGGTACCCCAAATGTGGTTGGGCTTTGACTGTTTGTTTTTTTTTTTAACCACCACTAACATCTTGGTGCTGTTGGGGAGCAGTCATAGATGCAGGATCTCACTCCTATGGGGCAGAGCTTGATGGAAAGCTCAGCGTGAGGTTCTCCATCACACAAACTTTTATCTGTATTAAAATTCACCTGCCTTGGATCTCTTTTGTTTTCATCCTGGAATGACTGGAAGATCTTTGAGGGGAGTTTTGCATTTGTTACAGCATCCTGTCACTGGAGAACTGCGGACCGCTAAGTCTGGAATTGCTTTAATTTGGGGCCGGTGGTGGGGTGGGTGTCTTATTCTCATAGGGATTAGGAAGTTATCTGCATTGCATATTTCAACACTGGAGCTTTCAGTTCTCTGTTTTTTAAGCAGCGTGAGAGAAAGAAAACGAGATTGTATGAGTGAGTTGGCTGTAACATGTCACATCTGGCATTAAGTATGGACACGTTGGAAGAAGGTGGACTTGGTGGGGCAAAGGGCCGCTGATGGGGTGGCAATACCCTACAACTTGAAGGTGTTGTGTTCTATAAATACATGCTATAACGTGGTGATTCTTACTGCAGTCCGGATTTCAGAGCAGCGATCAGAGGAGGTAAATTAAATTGATACAAGTTCCTGGTCCCATTAGTGCTGCAGCAAAGCGTTGGGCATAGCAGCAGTTTGTGTTCTTAGAGCAACGCAGGAATTGTGTGATGTCTTACAGCCTGAGACAACGTGAAGCTTGTGACAGCGAGTAAACGACTTTTTTTTAAAAAACTTGTGACTGGGCAAATCATTGTTTCAAGAGTCTAAATGCTGTTCAGCATTCCTGTTCAGGCCTTTGAGTTGACAAAGAAGGCATTTTCCTTGCGGTTGGAACATGCCTGCAAGGTGACACATCAGAGCTTTGTAAGTTAGCGTTTATACAACTGTTCAAAGTCTCAAGAGGTTTAGTTCTCTTCGAGTGTCTAGAAAATACGTAGTTTGTGTGCACAGAAAGTCAGCGTTGGGAAAATCATGGAGTGTTTTCCAAAGTCACGGTTAGCTGAGCCATACTTTGCCTGGGTTTTCATGCAGAGCATGAACATGGAAGTAGAGGCACTAACTCTGAAGAAGTTATTTGGTAACGCTGATTAAACCGAACCAACTTTTGACGTGAACGGAATGCTACTGTTGATTCGGTGTGCTGACCGGTATGTTGTTCACAAAATAATGCTTTTCTTGTTGATTTTATTCTCAGTAAGGTACATTGATGGAAAAGCAGAGGGTCTGCTTGTATCTTTGATGCCTCAGGATCAGGGAAAAAATGATCAAAATTTGAGATGATGACGGTGGCTGTGTCTGGGTAGAACTGCGCCTGTGTTTGGGTGTCAAATGCGTGCTGACTGGGTGGGGGTTATTTTTGGCCACAGCTTTGGTATATTAAGTTTTTTTGTTTTGTTTTGTTTTTTTTTTTTTTTTTTTTGTATATTACCCTGCTCTCTTTTCAGGTGTCAGTTGGGAATGATCGGTTACTTTTAGGTGCTTGGTATCATTACTTAGCTGCTGCATTGCACTGCATCTCATACATAAAGATAAAATACTTAACCTGTTTGCTTATTTTTCATTTTCAGTGCTGATAACATGATGACCTGACGAGGTACAGGACGTCCTAGCTATGCAGTGCAGGTACTGATGGGAAAGGATCCAATATGAGTGTAAATGATGTTGGAGGCAGACGACGCTTTGAGGATAGCGAGTACACGTTGCACATATACCCCGGGAGCATCGCAGAAGGGACGATCTATTGCCCCATCACCGCCAGGAAAACGTCCACGGCTGCCGAGGTGATCGATTCTCTCATCAATAAACTCCAGCTCGAGAAAACAAAATGTTACGTCCTTGCGGAAGTGAAGGAGTTCGGTGGGGAGGAATGGATCCTCAACCCTACGGACTGCCCGGTCCAGCGCATGATGCTGTGGCCTCGCATGGCCCTGGAGAACCGGATAAGCGGCGAGGATTACCGCTTCCTTCTGCGGGAGAAGAACCTCGATGGGTCCATTCACTACGGGAGCCTGCAGTCGTGGCTGCGGGTGACGGAGGAGCGCCGCAGGATGGTGGAGCGGGGCTTCCTGCCCCAGCCACAGCAGAAGGACTATGACGACTTGTGCAGCCTGCCGGACTTAAACGAGAAAACGCTCTTGGAAAATCTCAGAAACCGCTTTAAGCAAGAAAAAATCTACACCTACGTAGGCAGCATCCTAATAGTTATTAACCCATTCAAGTTTCTACCTATTTATAATCCTAAGTATGTCAAAATGTATGATAACCATCAGCTGGGAAAGCTGGAGCCCCATATTTATGCCGTGGCAGACGTGGCCTACCATGCCATGCTTCAGCGGAGGAAGAACCAGTGCATCGTGATTTCAGGAGAAAGTGGGTCAGGAAAAACACAGAGCACAAACTTTCTGATTCATCACCTCACTGCCCTCAGCCAGAAGGGATTTGCTAGCGGAGTAGAACAGATTATTCTTGGAGCTGGACCAGTGCTTGAGGTAAGATGAAAATGATAGTGGTGTGGAAACTTTTAATCGTGTAAAAAAAAAAAACAAAACACAACACACACACAACAAACCCAAGTAGTTGTGGTTTTATTACGTTTTTATCTAGTAAACACTGATAATAAACTGAGTTGCAACAGAATGAGTAATGAGAGGAGGTAGCCTCTCTGCCTAAAGAACGCTACGTGATTCAAAACAGGGAAAAGAATTGCAGCAAGTGGCTTTGACAGATTTATTAATGCATATATTTTCACTCAAAATGTTCCTTCATACCAAGGTATCTCAGTGACTTTTTAATTGGAAAATGGAAATGAAAAAAACGTTCATGAATTAACGGTGGCCTCTTTCATAGCATGTTGCAAACTGAGCTGATGTCGGGTAGCGTATGGATAGCGTTGCATTTGGGTGGTTTTCTGTACCCACAGCTTGACTGAGCTGAGGAATAGATCAAAAGTGATTTTAATGGTCAAAAGTTTATTTTCTGATAATCAGTGCTTGGTTTAGCCTGTGTGAGTGGGTACTTTATGAGGATTTCTCCTGGTGATGAAAGGAGATAACTGGATCATTAATGTCACAGATATGAAACTCTACAGGTGGGATACGAGTGGTCATTAGTTAATTTGCTTTGAGCCAGCTGTGTAATTCTTGGAAACAGCTTCCCTTAGGATTGTCCATTTTTGCTTGCAGAAGGAATTCTGTCAGTGCAGCCTGGCTGCATGGGGCTCGGTGTGGGTGGTGGGCTCACATTGGCATGGAAGAGCTGCCACAGCCGGGCCAGTTTCCCTCCCGAAACCTGGGGCACAGGCTGGCTTTCCAAGAAAAGGCAGCTGCTGTTGGGCGGGGAAAACACTCCTCTCGCCTCAGAAAAGCCCGCTGTCAACTCCCTGGTGGATTATTTCGAAGCAAACGTTCAGCTGTTATTGCAAACCGTGTTTTTGGCTGTGTCTGTGTGAGTGCTGCCTCAGTCAAAAAGGCTACCAAGCAAAATTCTCAGTCTGAGTGACAGTGGTGAAACCTCTCCATGGATGTCACAGGAGCCCTGGCCTCACTTAGCTACAAACTTCTAGCAATTTCTCAGTGTTTTTCTTTTTAAGAAGGAAATGCTGGATTGCATTTTATTGTCTTAAAAAGTGGCTTTGACCGTGTCTCCTAAAATAATAAAACTCACGGTTTGGTTGGTTTGTTTGCATTTTATTTTGAACACTGTTTAGGTATATTCCAATTCCTGACTGTTGTCTCAGGATTTGTCCCTGAAGCACTGAGGGTTCAGGGAACGCTGGCTGGTTCTGCTTTGGGGACAGAAGCTTGCATTCCTCTGCTCCGGCAGCTGCGCTTCTGCTCTTGCACTTCAGCTGCCTCCAGGTCGCTCTGAGAAAGTCAGGTTAATCCAGAATTTCTTCTGATCTGCCGCTTCGGTTCAAAATAGTCACAAATCAAGCAGTCTGAAAGATAAGATGTGCATACCTCTGTTTTTTCCTCGCTTCCTAAAATTGCCTAAAAAAGGGATCTTCAGAGAAGATGGGCTCTCGTGGCTTGTGTTGCCCTGAGAGCAGTTTGCAGGTTGACCTCTTTTGATTCCTTCCATTTGTGGTTGATGCTAAACTTGTGCATCTCATTTACGTTTCCTCTTCCTTCCCATTCTTTTCCCTTTCTCCAGAAGCCTTCTTGGACCCTCTCATTCTCCTTCTGCCCATTTAAAATGAAATCGTGTTGGGCTCAGGCTTGCCTTTTGGGAGGCACATGTGCTGCAACATACCTGTTGGTGGGTCGACCCCTGGTATTTTGGGGCCGAAGCACAGCAAGTTGGAGTGTGTTCACTCCTGTCGAGCTCTCTGCCTGCTTGCAGAGCATTTCCAGATGCACGAGCTGTTCCCCCCGTCCCTGGGAATGCCTTTGCAGCCGTGCTCGCATGGAAGGAGCGGAAGCATGGCCAACTTAAGGCTTTCTGCAGCTTCACTGTTTTCCGAAGTTTACCTTTTGGAATAGCCCAAGGCTATTGTTCTGTTGTTTTTTTTTGTTTTTTGTTTTTTCTTGCAGAGGTCATTACGAGATTCCTGTGAGCCTTGTCCAAGCCGTGCTTTTTGGGATGGCTGTCAAGGCAAGCTGTTATTGCCATCTAGGTGTGCTGTTGTCATCCAAGAGCTGTGTGCAGTGGCTAGCACCGTGCATTGGACAGGAGGCCGCTGTATGCCTGCAGAAGGTCCATTTTCCAGTAGGGTATCAGTAGAGATGAGTTGGCCAAAGTTTTGCTCTCTGCCTTTTTTAGTTTCAGTGCTTAATTCAGTTCTTAAGTTCAGGTGTTTTATGCAGATATCAGAGGAATAATTGCATGTGCAATTGAGTTCTGTTTCTGATCTACTTCATGCAGTACTTCAGATGAAAACTTCATTACGCTCAGCTTGATGCTCCATCAGGGACCCAGAGTGCGTAGCTTTGCTGCTTAATTTCCATATAGATTGTTACTTTTCGTTTAGATGCCAACCCTGATACTATTTAAGGAAGCATCAAGAAAGTGTGCCAGGAATGTGTGTGCATGTAGGTTTGTATATATGTCTTTTAGTGAAACATTTTACTCCAAGAATTTCTCTTTTTTTGAGAGAGAAATAAGCAACACGCAGAAGAGATTTTTCCACTTCCATTTGCGTTCCAAAAGCTGTGGTTAAAGGTTTGCTCTACAGAAAAGTGCTGTTATCGCAGGACTTCCAGACACTAGTGTGTCTAACCTACTGTAAAATAGTGGAACTCCGTGGAATAAACACCACATGCAAAGTGGTTGCTCCCCTCTAGTTATCTTCCACTGAAAAATTAAGATATTTTATGTGTTTTATATGCTCTTTTAATGACTGTTGCCAGGTTTGTAACAATCATCTCTAGCTTACAAATCTGTTGAAATCACTTAGAGTCCCACTGCGATATTTTGTCCTGAGACGGAAGTCTCAGTGGGTTTCTTGAGGTTTTCCTCAAGACGGTGGGTTTCTTGAGGTTTTCCTGTGCAGTATTCCCACTCCTCACTCGTTTATCTTCAGGAGCATGTGCGTTGGCAGAGCTGCTGCTCAGCCTCTCTTGATGGCATTAATTCACTGAATTAATTCACCTAACCAAAATATTCACAGCTCACAGTCCAAACTGAATAGGTCAGAGCTACTCGGCCAGAACTATTCAAGCCTGATGTCATTGACTGATTGGAGTTCAGTGATTTTGGGGTGGGTTTTTTCCTACACATCGTTCAGCATCAAAACCTGTTCTTCTCCATGCTGTAATCACCAGGCCGCTTTCCAACTTAGGTTTGGACTTGAAGCTTGCCAGTTTTGACAGAAATTATAGAATATTTGGGAAGAACGTGCATGCAGCAAAATAGGCACTTGCTCTTGGTTCCGTTTCTGCTGCTTACACCACACACGAAGAATTTGTTCAGAACCACTAAGCTGCAGCTCTCCAGCACCGAGTCAGTGAACCGCGGCTCCAGAAGTTACGTGGGATCCGATCCCTGTCCAAGGGGAGGTTTTTAATAGTGTGATAGGGAGAAGTTATGGGACCCACTTTAGTTCCCAGATAGTTGAGCTAGGGTATAATTAGCTAAGACTCAAGCATATAAAAGCACGAGCTTGTCTGAAATTAGATCTCTCTCTCCTATCTAAGTAAGAGATGAAAATTGTGCCAGTGTTTGATATAAATACTAACCTGAAGGTGCAAGGTATGAAGGTGAAGTTAAGATTTCAGATACACGCTAATAGTTCAAGGGCTTATTACTTGTCAAGAACATTAGATGTTTTTATTGCAAACGAGGCTTCATTACTTTCTGTGTTGGAGGAAGACCAGGAAACCTAGGACTCCTGTCTTTCCTTTGAATTCTTGACTTGAAAGGTGTGATGCATGCCACAACCACGCTTTGTTCTCATTTGTCAAGGTCTCTTGGAGACGGGTCATGGTCATGTAAACCTTGGGAGCCAGAGGCTAGTGGATTTAGGGAATGTCCAGCTGGAAAACAGCCCTTGGGTGGCTTACCTTCGTAGAATCATAGAGGCTTTCAGGTTGGAGAAGACCTCCAAGATCCTCTAGTCCAAGCTCTTACCTAGTGTTCTGAAAAAAAAAATCAGAATGTTATGTATTTTCTCATCTTTTCAGGTAGGGAGACCTGCTCCTGGTGGCTGCTTCAGCAGGGTGAGGAGGAAGGCAAGAGGATCCGGTCTTCCTTTTTTTCTTACAGTGGCTTCAGGCTAAGAATGCTTAAAAATTCTGAAGAGCTTTTCCTAGTGTCCACACAAACTTTGGGAGGCGAACTGGATTTTATTTCTTGAAAGTGTAGCTTTGGCTTTGGGAAAGTCATTATCCACTGCTATAGGCCTTGAGGAGAAGGAAGAAGTCTGTTAGGAAGTATCCCTGTATTTTCTGTTAACTTCTGGGGATGGATCTCTGCAAGCCGGTACAGAACAGCTTTGTAGACAATGCATGTTTTGTTTTTACAAAGCATTTAATGGAGGAGTTCAAGTTTATACCATAGATGCTTGATCTTTGTGACGTGGCAGTAACTTCACTCTTGGGATTTTCTTCCAGATTTTTTCCATTAAGTGGTAGCAGTATTTGAATTCTTGTATGTAGAGTTGTAATGCAGGAACATTTTCCCATTAACTGTCGTTTCATTCTACTTCTAATCAATACAAACTTTAAAAAATTGTTTATGACAGTGTCTTAAGACACCGTTTTCCCTTTAATTACATTAGCTAAAACATCAGGATGAACTTGTATTTTCATAGTGTTAAATCTTGTAGAGGTGGAAAGCCCAGCCCCAGCAGGATCATGAGCGTCCTCTGCTCAGGACCCAGTGAAAGACAAATTGCACACATAAGCTTCACTGGAGCAGCCTGAGTGCAAGTTGATTTGTCAGGCTGTGTGATTTTTCTTTATTTCTCAGCACAAATGCAAACAGTAGCAAACTGCCCCCTGGCCCTGGTATGGCCACGTATCTCCAGGCAGGTTTAGGACATTCCTGTAGC